TTTTAGAAAATTCAACAATGGTTTTCCAAAATTACTTGATTTGTTATGGTGGTTATGGTTTTCTCCATGCAAAGGGCATCTCTTCTTTTGTATGCAAGCTTTTCTCATGGGCGATCCCAACTAATTAGTCGCATAGATCGAGAACTGTCGGAGCAAATGGAAAAAAGTGTTACATATTGGCGAGAAGTTCTTAAAAGAGTATTGCGAGTCATAGCTTTTCTTAGCGAAAGGGAATTGACATTTAGCGCGAACAACGAAACTTTCGGATCTCCTAACAACGGCAACTACCTACCTAGGAATATCAGAACTTTTAGCTGATTACGATATTTAAAAAAAGAAACATTTAGAAGAACATGGCAACCGTGGAAGTGGTCACACAAACTAATTATCCACGATTTTTGAGGAACTGCTACAAATTTTAGGAAAAGCCGTTTTAAAAAAAATTATTGATCCAGTGAAAACTGCAAAATATTTTTCAGTTTCTCTGGACTCGACTCCTGACGAAGGCCATGTTGACCAATTGACGTTAGTGGTTCGGTTTATTGAGGGGCACGCTCCTGTTGAGCGTTTTATGTTTATGCCTAACCAGGATCATAAGGCAAAGGATATGTATGAGGGCTTGATTAATTTTCTAGAACAAAACGAGCTGGATCTGAAGAACATTCGTGGACAGTCGTATGACAATGCTTCTGCAATGAATGGCAGATATAATAGCCTACAAGCATTAATACAAGAAAAAAATAGCCTAGCAACTTCTCATACAATCGGCAGCCAGTTGTTGTCTCAGAGTAATAAGTTTCTTTGATTTTTTAGAAGAGCTGTACGTATATTTTAGTGAATCAACTAACAGGTACAATACAGTTAGTCGCTGTTCAAGAGAAGCAAAAACTGACCAACCTATTCTTGTGCCGAAAAGAACGGCAACAACTCGCTGGTCATGTCAAGTTGAAGCCACTAAAGCACTCTTGCGAGGCTATAAAGGTTTTATAAATGCCCTCCATGAAATTATTGAGGACGAAGAAGACATGATGGTATGGCAAAGTTAGAAACAGCTATATATACAGTTTTTTGGGATGATATTTTCAGCGAAACCCTACAAAATCCTAGGTTGGACTTGAACACTGCTGCGGCACTGCTTACTTCATTGAAATCAACCATTGAAAATAAAAGAGACAGTTTTAATGAATATGAAGTAAAAGCTTTCGAGCTAGTTGATTGCCGAAACTACGAAGAAGAAAAAAGGAGAAAAACAAAAAGAAACGTCCGGTTGTCCACTTTAGATTGCCCGCAAGCTTCGGTAGTTCAGTTGTTATCCTCGGACAAATGTAGAACTCAAAGCTACCTCCCAGTTGTCGACCAGCTCATGACAGAAGAGAATGGACACGTACTCACTTCTAAATGCACGATTTGGATTTTTGAAAAATTTAATAACTATTTCTGATCAAGAAATTTTGTCTGACAGCCAAAACTTGGTGAAAACCTACTACGACGACGTAGATGATACTTTTGCAACGAATTCATACATTTCAAACTATTTATAGTTCACTATGAAGAATATGAACAAAAGAAAAGAGGAGAAATTAGCTACGAGGGATGGATGTATGAATTGTTGTGTAAAAACAATGTTAAAGAGTGCTTTTCCAACTTTGCAGTTGGGGTAATTCTGAGAATTTATCTCACACTAATGGTGAAGAATTATACGGCTGAAAGATCCTTTTCGAAACTGAAACTTATAAGAAATAAACTCCGAAATTCCATGACCGAGGACAGATTAAATACTTTGATGTTTTGTTGAGATTGATGTTTTGAGGGAAACAGACTTCGACGATATTATCGATACGTTCATTAATGTGAAAATCAGACGAAAAATAATTTAGCTTGTAAGTACCTCTAGTTCAAATTTGAATAAATTTTATGTTAGCCAATTTATTCAGTTGCTCCCTTCTTTAACTCGACCTTAATAGAAACTGTCAACAGTTAACCACAAACAATTTGAGGGCCTATGCTCTGCCTATGGGCAGTCTAAATCCGGCGCTGACCATATTGCACATTTTTGTTTGAATAATATGGCCTGCATGTGGTTGTTACTAACCCCCCAGAAGGCAATGCCATAACGCAGGTGACATTAGTTTAGTTAATGAAAAACCATCTATGCGTTGGACAGTCCGATTTCATTGGATATGACATGAAATTTATAACATCCAGATGCTAGTTTGCTTTTAAGAGCCTCAATATGATTATGGAAATTCAGTCTGTTATTATTGTGTAACGCTAGAAATTTGTATGACGTTGGTTCTCAATTGACTCTTCTCCTAGTGAAATATTTTCAATTTGCCCTCTGAAAGCGACATTGGTTTTAGATAAATTGAAAGAAAGCTCGTTTGAGTTACATCATTTTCTAATTTTAGTTGACATCATTATGGATTGATTTATTTAAGGATTCGAAAACGGAACTATGCCATATTATGGTGACCATTATTGAGCCTTGAGGTACCACAGTCTTCAAATGCGCTTTTGAGAGTATTGTTGTTTTTACTGTAGGGCTTCGAAATGATAGGTAGGAATTACACCATTCAAGGGCAAGTCCAATTCCATAGTGCTGAAGTTTCTGTAACAGTATTTCATGATTCACACACGAAAAATCACAAAAATGCTTCAGCAACATTTCACTACATTTTCATCTATACTATACGAAAAACTGATATTTTTCAAATTATACCAAGTTTCAGTAATTGTTGTAACCACCAAAAAATGTATTTTCGTACGTTCACTTGCTTAAATTTGTTTTTCGAATATTCAAACTAATCGCTAGTACATTAGCATTTTTCTACCATCTAGTGATAGTTATCAGCGGTTTCAACGGTAAGAAATGCGTTGTTAGTTATCCATGACTGACATAAAAAATGAATCTCGGAATTTGTCAATAACGCCATGTGGTGTTTCTTTCGCATGTAGATTGAATCATTTTCATTATGAATTATGCATTAGAAGATATGGTGCAAATGGTCTATGCTTTGGAGGAAAGTGACGGAAACTGCCTCCTTGAATCTAGGGTTTACAAAGAGAAGTTCCCCGAAAAAAGGCAACTAGATGGAAGGGCATTTCAGGCTCTAAAAACAAGATTTGAAAGAACTGGTAATGTCAATCGCGAAAAGTTCGAACGTGTTTGACCTGTAACAAGTGAAGAGAATACATTTCAAATTGCTCTTCCCCCTGTTGAAAATCCCCATGCGCGTACCATAAATAGGTAGGGTGGGCCTGTGGCGTAGCCACCCAGATCACCTGACCTGACTGAAATAGATTTTTTATGAGGTATATCAAATGGATTGTCTACCAAACTCCTCCAACACCCATAGAAGAAATGAAACTAAGAATCACTAGAGCTTTCAGGGAAATCCCAGAGGATATGCTGGAACTTGTAGAGAATTCATTTAAAAAAAACTGACATTATCTGTTGCAGTGTTGCATGTGTTGGCTCCTCTTTTCAATAAAAATGTAGGCGTTATTGTTCATATTGAAAAAATTTCAAGTGAACGTAAACAAATGAATTTTTTGTGATGACAACAATTAATAAAACTGGGTATAATTAGAAAAATATCTGTTTTTCATATAGTATACCTTTGATAAAAAATGTAGTGAAATGTTGAATTTTTTGGAAGAATATTCAATATAACCAATCCTATAATAATTCTGTGGAAGTATTCGGAGAATTTGAAGTATTAATCGGAAAGTTGCCCTGGGTCCACAAAATTAAGTTATGATCGGACATTTGGGATGCTTGAAAATGATCACTAAGTAACATCTGCGAAAAATTGACATGTCTTTGATATGCTTCATTTTCTCTCTGGGAATCCCCACAAATGCGGTGTAAATCTGAAAAAATAAATTATATTTGAAGTGCTACAAAGACAACGAATGAAACATTTACTTTGTTTCTAACAAAAAATGTCATCAGATTTCAGGTACATTTTCCTTTCTATAATACAGCATTCATAATCAGCATAAAAAACCAAAAATGTTCCAGTTTGACTAGCAAAAATGAGATGTTATGTTCTTAATTATTGCCTAATTTATTTGGTTCAATTATGTACCCATCCTTTTTAATATCAACACGACGTATGTGAAAAATATACTCATCTTGAAGTCAGACAGATTTGCATTAAGATTTATAAGCCATTTTATAGATAAAAAAGGAGACAATGTGTTTATATTGGTTCTTCGATCATATGGGTAGATTCTGTGGGTGAAGAAAATCGAAAACGTTCAATTTCATCAAATCCAGTGAAAATTTAGAAGGAATTTTGAAAATGGAGGAGCCTATGACACAAGAGATAGAACCAGACAGAAAATAATCGACCTTATCTCAAAATAGTGAAAATATAGATCTGTCTATCTGTTCTATCTGTTTTTCCGTTAATCAGCTGTCGCCCCCATACGAACAACAACTCTCAGAAGTTGAGAAACTTGTGCGAGCTAAGGACTAACGAGGTCTTACTTTTTAACGTGTGATTCCTAACAGGGTTATATACTGGGTCTATTTTGTCAGTCAGTGCGTTTGTCAGTTCGGGTATTTTTCCAAAAACTAGTTCGAAGGGTGTATAGTTATAATATATACTGGGAGTCGTATTGTAACAAAAACTATAAAATTTTATTCATTTGTCCCAGTCTGTGTGTGTATCGTTAACGTACATTCTAACATACTCGTTAATTACCCGATGATTTCTCTCACAGCCACCTATACTCTAGTGATGGTAGGCAGTGGAGAATTTTTGTTGGATATCTAGTAGTTTACACACTTGTTAATACTTCGTTTTCATATTCAGTTCCCACATCAGTCCGTATTTCGCGCATAGGACCGTAAATCAAAATGAAGTTATCAACTATGGCCCTTGCGACAGTTAAAGCGTCTTTATTAGGTATAGGCGCTATAACAACGTATTTTATCAATTCGCACTGAGCTGTAACCGCATAACAATTACCGTCTGGTGTTTTAGGAAATGGCCCTATGGTGTTTATACACGTGATATCAAATAGCCGTTGAGGCGTTGGTGTAATCACCAATGGTTCCCTATGACTAATTTTACCTTTATTTATTTGACATTTTTGACAAGATTTTACATAGTTGGCTACTTCCTTAGACATATTTTTCCAACGAAACTTAGTCCTGATTTTTTTTAAGAGCCGCTTCTGTCCACAGTGACCACCAAAAGGTGCATGATCGTGGTACTCTGTTATAGTTCTTTTTTTTTGCTTCTATTTGTGATGATTGTGGGTTCATCATAAAGTATTATATTTAAATTTTTTAACGTATTTATACCCTTTTCTTTAAAATCTTTATTTTAGCATTTGCACCTTTTTCATATATCCTGATTATTCTGTGTATAGTATCTACATCTCTTTCGTCTTTGATATATACGGTGATATCATCCGCATACGCCGATATTTTCCTCAGACTATCCCCAATTTTGATACCCTGCAGACTGAAGTCAGCTATTCTAATGAAAGGTTCTATAGATAAACTAAACAGTGTCATTGACATAGGACAACCTTGTCGTTGTATGTTGAACCCATCTGACAGATATCCATTCAGTAGTATTTTTGAGCGAGCACCCTTATATATATTTTTGAACATCTCAATTATGTTCCCATTACAGCCCACAGGTATTTATGATTTACCTTGTCAAAAGCTCTACTGAAATCCAGTGACAGTATCGCACCTGCTTGTTGTTTATCTTTTTCGAAAAATAAAACTGTGTCCCGCACTAACAACAAATTATTGAATATTGATTCATTGTTACCACCTACCTGTTCCAGTCCAATAATATTTTTTATATTTTTCATTCGATATGCAATTATTTTCATAAACAACTTGTAATCAGTGTTGAGCAGTGTGATTGGTCTAAAATCGGACAAATCTTTTGCGTTCTTTACTTTGGGGACAAGGGTAATGACTGGCTCTGAAAATTCTTTTGGTATTATTGTCTTACCGGAGAGTAGCATGTTAAACATTTTACTGAGCTCATTCCCGAGTTCATTGAAAAACGTCAAGTAGATTTCATAGGTGAGTCCATCTAAGCCAGGTGTTTTTTTCTTGGCAGTTCTAGCAAGCACTCCTTTCACTTCTTCCACAGTTATTTCTTTTTTCAACAACATGTTATCACGATGGGATACTTTGTTTTTAATATGAGCAAGTAGACACCTGGTGTCCCTGTCATTGACTAGTGGGTCCTGTTGATTATCATTAAACAATTTTGAGTAAAAGGTATTAGCATAGTTGATCATATCTTTAGAATTTGTAAGTATTTGACCATTTTCAGTTTATACGAAAGGAATGATGGATATTTTGTTTTTCTTTTGCTTCATGAGATCATACAGGCTGTATCTCTCGTTTATACTTTCCTTATCTTTATTTTTGAATCTAGTGTTTAGTTGTTCTTTCAGTTGTAATATTGTATTTTTAATCTCTCTATATTCATTCAAAACGTTTTCGCCTCTGTTCAACTTTTCATTTGTTTCAAAAAGTGCCTTTTGATAAAAATCCATCATCTGTCTATTCTCAATGGCCTGCTCTATTTCGATGGACTTAAAATAAGCTTTAGTTCTTTTTTTAAAACATCCAAACCACCACTCTATGAAATTTCTATTATATAGATGATTTGTTTTCAAAGATCTTATTTCTTCTATGAAACTCGCAATTGATTCCTCAGTCATAGAAGATCGTTTCACTTTCCAATAACCCCACCCGTGACTTGTGACCCTAACTTTGTTGTTGGGATTCACCTGTATATATATACAATGACCGCCTTATGGTCTGAAAAGGCGATTGGCTTTATTTCACATCTATTGATTGAATATTTAATTTCCTGCGATATGTATACTCTATCTATTCTAGATGCCAACATAACAAATAAATAGACAAGCGGTTTGTGGTCCGATTTTACTAAAAATGTATAAACAAAAAGATATGGCCTAAAATACTTGATTGCCCAGTGTATGGCAGCTAATTCTTTCTCAATTGTGGCCTTCTTTATTTCGCCTTTTGTGAAGGCCCTCGAAGCATAATGAATTGGTAATTCGACTCCATTAAAATTTTGTGAAAGAATTGCTCCGCAAGCTTGTTTAGAGGCATCGGTAGTCAATATAAATTGTTTTTCAAAATCAAGGTATTGTAGTATTTGAGGCTCCAAAAGGTATTGTTTTAACTTTAAAAAGGAGTTTTGGCACTCTTCGGTCCACTAAAATTTTGATTTCTTTTTTGTTAATTTGTTAAGTGGGACTACCAATTCCGCGAAATTTCTAATGAAGCGGCGATAGTAATTTAAAAAAGCAATGAACCTTTTTACCTCATCAGCATTTGTAGGCACCGGGTATTTGCTTATAGTTTCGTACTTTGATTTGTCAGGTAAAATTCCATCGCTTGTAATAGTATGATTTAGATACGAAACGTTATTTTGAAAAAATTGCATTTATTAGGGTTAAGTTAAAGACAAAATTGTATGCATAAATCAAAAACATTTTTTAAATTTGAAAGGTGATGACTTTTAGAACAGCCTATAACGATGAGATCGTCCATATATAGGAAGGCTTTTTCTGGTGTTATTCCCCCAAAATGCTATGCTCATCATACGAGCGAATGAGTTGGGAGAAACCTTTAGCCCAAAAGGTAATCTAGTGAATCTAAATGATCCGGAGTTTGTAATGAATGAAGTGATATCGCGAGAACTTTCTTGTATCGGTATTTGATGAAAGCCTGACTTTAAGTCTAGAGTACTAAACTATTTGGCTCTTCCTAATTGGTCTAAAATATCATCTATTCCTGGTAAAAGGAACTTATCTGCAATTAGTTTTTTATCAAGCAACCTGTAATCTACAACTAATCTTCATTTTTTATCTCCGTTATCGGACTTTTTAGGAACCAGTAAGATGGGACTACTATAATTAGAAATGATTGTTCGATAATTGAGTCTTTTAAAATTTTAGATATTTGTTTATTTACCTCTGAAATTTGTGAGTGCGGCATTTTGTAATTTTTAACGTAAACTGGAATTTGATGTTAGTTTAAACTGCTGATTGTAAAAATTATTAATTGTTAGACTATCGATTTCCAAACAAAAAATATCATTATATTCTTGACTTAGGTTCAATGTATCCGCTTTTGCGAACTCAGGGATTTCGCAATGTAATTCTTTAAGTGATAACGTTTTAAACTGGTCATCGGCACACTTTTCAGATATAATAATAAATAAGCAGGGATGGCCACTAACACCCATGGCCTTTGGTGAGTTGCGACACCACTTACCCGAGCAACTGGTGCAAAACCGGACCGGTAGCCCAGGCGCATCCGGGAAGGAGAACTCTATTCTCCCTCCGGTGCCGGCCGTGAGTCCACAGGGCTAACCACCCGGTGGTCCCAACACTTGGTTCCCAGTGATCAAGAAAGGAGCCCCACAATCGTCCCTCTCGGAGGGGTCAGAGGCAAGGTGGTGGGGCCCATGGTCGCTTTGAGTGGACGCATGAGCTGAGAGATAGCCTTATGCATTGCTACGAGAGTAGTGAGCCCGCGCGAAGAGGGTACATGGAGAGATTGCATGCTCTGTGGTGTGAAACACATCCGGAGCATGCCGCCTTTTCCGCCCAAAACCTTAGGAATTATGTATCTTATCTTCAGCGGCAGGGCTATTTAGCTCCTTCCCAACCTGCTAACGAAGTGGTAGAAGTGACAGTTCTACCACCCGTTGGCACGGCTGGAGAGGAGACTCGCATCATACCACCAATGGAGACGACAATCAGAACACGCAGGGCGCTCCACAGGATTAAGCCCCGGAAGCCACAAGAACTGGCTCGTTTGGATGCGGAGGTTCATAGTGTTCTAACAGAAGAGGCTGACATCTGGCAAATCAACATCGCCGTGTATAACGTCGTCCAATCGCTCTCCGCATCGGAAGGACGAAATCCCGGCCTTGCGGTTCGGAAGATTGAACGGCGTGTACACAAGATGGAGGCTAAGATCACGTCGGCGAGACAACACGCGTCTCGTATCCAATGTGTGATGGATTACACGGCGGCCAACAAGCCTTTCACGCCCACAGTGCGGCGAATAGCCGCCAATCTACGAAGTATCCATCACAATTTAAGCCAAGGCGTGTTGCTGACCACCAAACAGCACTGCCTTGATAGGATACGAATGCTAGTGGCTGCTAAGAAGTCACTAGTGAGGCGAGCGAGAAGTATCGCGGAAAACCTCAGGTTTCGCGAGAAACCTTTACGCTTATTCCAAGAGCCTCCACGTGTTGTGGATAATCCGCCAACCGCTGATCAGGTGGAATCCTTCTGGAAGGATATCTATGAATACCCGCAACCACTCAACTCAAGACACTCCAGCCCTAGCGCAGTTCGAAGCTTTCAACAGAGAACTTCGACAGCCTAAGCCCAATGAACTGCGCAACCCGATAACCCCGGTTGACGTTCGAAGGGCCCTTGTTGGTTCCAAGAACTTTGCTGCTCTAGGCCCAGATGGGCGGAACACTTATTGATGGAAAAAACTACCAAGTACCCACCATCTGACCAGAGTTTTCAACTCATGGCTGGATGGAGAGCAGCCGATTCCGGATCGGTTTGTCGAGGGGCAGACCGTTCTTATTACCAAAAGCGGAGATTTGTCGATTCCTAAGAATTACAGACCGATAACATGCTTGAATTCGTGTTATAAGTTGTTTACAAGCATCTTATACACACGAATACTCACCGCAGTTGACCNATATGTACACTTATCTAAAGGGCACTACAAATTTCAAAAGAAGTAACTATACATAGGTGCGTAGATCATGCAAAGAAGTAACTTTCAGACACAAACTGGAAGAAAAAGCCTTCCTGAAACTGCTACTTCCATATAAACATTGAATTACACGAAAGAAAAATACTTTTGAAACAAAGTTTTATATGAACACTGAATTATACAGAAACCACTTTTCTCCATTCAGTTTGTATTCCAAACATTCGTTATGGAATTGAATCAGAAATCACTCACAGAATTCTCACACAATATATCTGAATATGAATTACATGTCAAATACTCCATCACTACGTCATCTGAACAACTTAATAGAATCCTAGGGCTTATCAATAAAATTTTCGGACTTTCGAAGCTTCGAAACTTCGAAGCTTCACCTTCAACTTGTAGAGATAATGAAATTATCGACTTAAGCGAACAAATTTTAGAGGTAGGTACACTTGATCCCTCTATTTCCGATCAATTTTTGGTCATTACCTATAAAGTGTGTTATGACAATGATAAAACATCTAGATTTTGTTTTACAAAAAGTGGGATGGACCGGTTTTCAAAAAAAAGCTGTCTATAAATTGAGACATATTTTAATCGAAACATGTTGAAGTAAATGACTACTGTCAAGTCTTTGTTGATTCTCTTCGAACTTATGTTAGAGAAAATCACTCAGAGATAATCCCTTCTGAATAAAATGGTTCAATAATACTTTGAAATCCATGAGAAATGACTTTAGAGCCTAGGAACGTAAGAAGAAATAATATAGCGTTGAATTATTGATATAAAAGAAACATGGCGGTGATAAATATAATAATAATAATAATTCATAAGAGTAAGAGTACATTTCTTTTAAGGAAACAAGTTGTATAAAGTGCTTAGGCAATAAGTGCTACTGCACTTGTTTCGCAAACAATTAATAAGTATAATGTAATGAAAATAATACAAAAAATAAAACAGTGAAAGACAATAATATTGCATTACAAAAATTTAAATGATGATTTAAAAAACATATATTTTATTAAAACAACGATAAAAATGAAATAAAAACAACAATAAAAATTAATTGGTGCTCCGGGGCGACTTCACTGATTCCAGTGGCGCATTTGCTTTTTCAGCTGCAGGAAACCCCGGAAAAACCTGCAGCACCACACCATCTAAAGATCTTGATTTGACAATGTCCTCTCTCTTATAAAACAAAATGTAGGGTGTCTCCGGAGGCTCCAATAAATTCAATGCATCGCCAGAACACTTCGTGACACGACTATCGATGCATTGATTTAATATATAATAAAATAGTTGAAATAAAAAGTTAAGACTAACAGTATAGGTAATGCTGTGATATTTATTACATTGCAGAAAAAAGAACACGATCAAGTATTGAATATGAATAAAAAAACCAAGATGGGAAAATATTTGTGTAGGACCTGTTTTTATGAAGTTCAATCTAGAAGATTTTTTTTGACCAATACTTTTCAAATGTATTTCTTATTGCTTCCGGTATTGTACTATAAAGTTTTGTAACAGTGAAAGTGTATGCTTTTCGTGACATTGACTTTTTCACAATGATTGGGTAAGTGAGTTTTACATGATGTCGAGTGATATACTTGTGATTTTGGACTAGTGCTTCATTTTTACTTGAGTGATATTTTACATTTGTACAAAAATAGTCTATCTGTCGGATATCCATAATAGAACGTTCCCTATATTATAGTCGATCTGTTGGAAAGCGTACACTTTTCGAAAATATTAGTTTTAAAAATCTCCTCTAAATAATTTCTAACGAATTAAAATGTCCCCGCAAAACTGAGCCACACGCTATAATACCGTATCTCAGGTGGCTTTCCACTAAGGCGGAATATAGTTTTTCTACTTCCTTCGTTGGTAATAATGTTTTGAGTAGTCAAAATCTGTACAGTATTGATTGGAGTTTCTTTATTTACAGAGTGAATTTCAACTATATCACCTTGAGTGTTGATAATTTCGATTCTCCTATTTGGACATCTATTTTATGTATCGCAGCTGAAAGACAAAAAGTTAGATTTTTCCAGATTAATTGTTAGACGATGGCCAAACCATTTTTCACTGGTTTAAAGTCTTTTGTCAACCTCATTTTTAGTGAACTTCAGGTTTCTGCCTCATAAAATATTGCCGTGCCATGTGCATATCCAATGATTTTGGCCTCACTGTGCAATTTGAATAAATCATCAATATAAGTGTTGAACAATAAAGGACCCAATACGGTGCCTTGAGGAACATCACAATTAACTTGCTTCTGGTCACTAGTGGTATTGTTCACTCTTACAGGCTGCTTTCTGTTTTCGAAGTAACTTCAAAGCAATTCCCTCTAATATCTTTATTTTACAGTGTTTGTAAGAGCAGACGATGATAGACAGTATCAAATGCCTTATTTAAATCTATAAAGAGACAAGAGAGGGTTTACCTCGTTCTAAAGATTTGTGTATCAGTTACGTTAATTCAAGTATTGCGTCTTCTGTAGATGTTTTTTCTTTGAATCCAAATTGTCTAGTTGATATGAGACTATATTCATTCAGGAAAGAATTCAACCTATTTTGCAATAATTTGTTTTGATTTACATTCATTTCCTGTGATTTCTCTTACTATTTTCCATAATTGGCCAGTGCTTCGTTCGTTATTTTTTATCTTATTTTTGTTATAATTTTGTTTGGCTTGATGTATTGCATTTATAACAATATTTTTGTAATTTTTTTTAATTTTTATTTTTCAATAAAGTACTATCGGGATATTGTCGAGATGTTTTGAACATGCGATTTTTTTTATTTATTATTGACAATATAGTGTTAGTCAGCCACGGAACTATTTTAGTGTTTCTTCTTAATTATTTTTTGATTTCAGTGCAATTATTAAGAACGTTAGTAATCGTAAAAGCAAAATTATTGTTCACTGTCTCATTTGGGACTTGTTGGGACTTGTTGATTAAATTATGTCACATTTCGTGTGTTATAGTTTTCTGTTATTGTAATTAAGATACTTTTATGTTTGTCTCTTTCATTTTTCTTTGTAGTGTCTTAGGTTACTATCTGTGGTATGACATGAATGTATTCTTGTAGGTACATTGATTGTGGAAATATATCCATATTAATCAAGCACATTTGAATATTCTATTTTCTTTTCATCATCACTCAGTAAGTTTATGTTTATATCACCTATAAATATAGGATAGATAAATGTATGTATGTATGTGACTCTTTCACTCCTAAACGACTGAACGGATTTAGATGAAACTTTACATAAATACACCTTATACATCAGAATAACATATAGGCTACAATTTACAAAGGTTTTGTGTAATTTTGGTCATAATATAACGATAAGTATTAAGCAAGTCAGAAAAGATGCCACAAATGTTTATAAGAAAACAATTGGATATAAAAAATACTTTACCTTTCAGAATGGCAGATGCCCATAACTGCACATGCACATCAGGTATCTTGCTAGCTAATTGCATAGCAGGTGTAACCATATTCATACTCTCTCTACTATTTCCCAGTGATAAAAATATATGGCCAAGCAGAACGAGAGAACAAGACGTCAGTCTATTCAAATCCTCAGCGTTTGCCATCTTTAAAGTTTCTCTGAGATATCTCCTGAAAAAAAGAAATACAAAACATTCACAATATTTTGTAATGAACAAAACATTTAGCCCCGATAAAGGAAATGAATAATAATGATGATCCTTACTAATCTCAAAGAAACAAGAATGTTTATACCAGGGATAAAATTTAAAATGGCATGATGATTTGATTATCATTAATTCTGAAGAGAGTGCTGATATGTTGTGATATAATGGAATCTGAAGTATTAACAAACGTTTCGTCTGCTACTGCAGCCGACATCATCAGTGGTATGTTTGTTGATTGCGAGGACGCAGTCAACAGTCAGTCGTTGCTAAAACTTCGAGATATAAACTTTATCCTTGCTGTCAATGAACCTTTTTGGTACGTCCTTTTAGTCAACGCACATACCACTGATGATATCTACCGCAGTAGCACACGAAACGTTTGGTACTTCAGGTTCCATTCGATCACAGCATACCAGTCTAGATTTTGATCTCTTTAAACACTAAATTATGTTAGACGTAAGTAATAAACAAACTGCAAATGTTTCTGCAAAATTACTTTAGCCTTTGATTTTGGTATCATTATATTTTTTGAAATTGATTACTGAACTTTATATAATGGAGACATGTGGTCTTTTATCAGATGCTATTTAAGAATAGCCTATCTAAATGAATAATAACTCACTTAGCTTCATTGTATCTACCCTGAAAAAATGCTTGAAGACCTTGGACATAGTAAGCAGCGGCTCTCAAACTATGAGAATGTGATGGTAAGCTTTCTGGGTTGATCCTGTCATGAAGTGCATTGAAATCTGCCTCTCGTTTACCTCTCAAATAAACAATAGCAAGGTTTAAATTCGCAAAAGTCCACAATTCTCTTTCACGGGATGTCTGAAATAAGTACACATTATCAAGTAAAACAAAAACTATAGCTACCAATTGCAAGTGTTTAAACGATGATAAAATGTAAGAAAATAACATTTGATTTGTGCTAAATAAGGTTATTATTGTATTCCTTTTCCAGAAAAGTTATACTGGATTATTGCGATCGCCATCTTGACGATTGAAACTCGTAGAAATCTAGCAAATAGTAGAGACAATTTTTTGTACAACTGTAACCCGTATTATGATTAAAGCGAATGATGTGTATTGTTCAGATACCAAAAACAGCAACCCTCAAACGGCTGTGTTGAATAAGTGGATAAATTATTGAGACCTCTTGTTTTTCTGGTATCAGAAACTTCTATATCCAACACCCAAAAGTTTTGAAGCCATGATGAAACCAAATCAAATTTGGTTGTTGTTTGGATTGGACTTGAAGTTTATCTTGCTATTCTATTGGCCTTTTCTTTCTCTCTATTCCAATGTATGATGGTGCCCACATGGATTGAATGTTGATATTCTTTTGTTGTAGTTCGTAAATTTTGTCTTTATTTGCTGTAGGAGAACTTGGTGACTAAGATAGAGAAGGGTTAAGGATTTGAAGAAGCAAAGTGAGTCTGAAATTATAGGAGATTTTCGTAAACTTTTAGCGTTCATATAATGTAACGCTTTGTTTAAATTTTGCCTGCCATTCGTTGAAGATGAATGATGCACCAATCCCAATATTCGAATAGGAAGCGTCATTATACATCTTTTCGTATTTTTGAAAGTGTTTTATTATTTCTGCGAAATATTGCTTGAAAGATGATTGAACGTTTCCTGAATTAATCGAGGAAAGACATTTTGATGACCGTTTTTTTCAAGAAGGCTGAGATTTCAACATAGAGTGAAAGTAAAGTTCTGTAAAGGATAGTTCACTGGTTTCATAATTAAGACTGTCAGTTGGACTAGTGTAGTGAAGCTCCAAGTGCTATTCGTCGGGCAGTGTTATGGATTGCGTCTAGTTCTTTTAGAATACTTTTAGAAGAGGAGTTGTATACTATATGCACAAAGGATATGTATATAGTTGGCGAAACGCGCGTCGGTAGTATAAGTGTTTTCGAAATAATGTTTTTCCTTTTTTTTTGTTATATTCTGCCGGTCAGCTGTCTAGAGAAAATGTTGTGTACAATAAATATACTCTCACGTAACTTTCTTTTTTCCTTTTTGATTTCCTTGTTGGGGATCGTTGAAGTAGTTTTATAGAGCTCCAATTTCTTTTCTTAATTTTTTAAGGCTTTTGTTTCACCAAGAAGAGTTTCCATCATCTTCTTTGATTCTCAGTGGACAGATTTTTTGATAGGAAATGGAATTTGTCCTCTACTGTCAATATGAATTATTATTTAATATCTGTTCATTTTGCTACAACTGATTAGTCAATGTTTGACATGCCTTCTTCTCCAGTAGAGAAACTAGATTGGTGGATAAGTTGACGGACAAGTCATTCAAATAAAAGTCCACTCTAATATTTAATTTGATTTTTGTGCAGCATTGAAGACAAAAGTATCCAGTGATACACAATGGGGCCTTTTTAAGTATGGTTTTACTGTAGGTGCCGTTACAAAATCAAAATACAAAATTTAAACGCAATATTCAGTTATGTATGAATTATTTCTAAAATAATAAACCATTTTTACAACAAATTATTTTTCTAATATACTTTTTCATTTTCTCTCCATTATTTCCCCGTTATAAAATACGTGATACAAAGAATATTCCATTTGAAATAAGTTGGTACAAACCTCTATTTCCGAATGATAAAGATAATTAAATTAATGGATTGAATTTTTTTTTAACAATGAAAAACAGTTGTTTATCCTCAATACTATAACACTCACAGATAGTGCAGCGATAAATTGTGCTTCTGCAGCTTCCATACAATTCATACTCATCGCATATAATCCAAGTAAAGTATGTAACTGAGGACCATGTGTTTCCAACAAACGTGGGCATTGCTTACAGAGTGCTGATGCTGATGATATTTCTTGGAGTGCTTGAGTTTTATTACCCATAACCAAACGACACATAATAATATGCTCCAATAACATGAGCTGAAATACTGAGAGTATGGGTTTATTGTCCACAACTGAAAGAATAAAGAATTTGAAAACTATGATCCACGTCAAAATATACACAACAAATATCTTACTTTTCAACTTTTCAATTTGCATCAAAGCTTTATCTGTATACTTCTGAGCTTTCTCCATGTATCCAGCCTGCATGCTATGCATTACGGTCACCAAATATACTAAAACATAGAGATGTTCTTTGGGCATCCACAAGAACATATCACCTGCACTGGGTCCCATAAAAACTAAAAAACCACTCAAATGAGATTTTTTATCCCAATTAACTATATATAAATAAAACTGTTTCATCAAAAGTTATTATTTCTTATATCTCACCAGCTTCAGAAAATTAATTTATTATCATTTTATATATTCCGGAGAGGTGCATTATGACATGCTCAAGGTTGCCCCTTTCCTCTCATGCAGACCTACGACTTTGTAGGTACATGTGGCAGATATACCCAACGGAAAAACAACTAATCCAGCTAATGCCTCGCAGAGAGTTAAAGTAAAACCATCAGGCACCTGTGCAACGTCTTCGATTTGGAAGATTTGTCGCAAGTTATTTCCCACTGTGAATAGCAGAAATTAATTTCGTTTGGTCGATACGACCAACCGATAGACCGGTTTCGGGGTGCTTGCCTCATCATCAGTACCGGGCATGTCTCTTCAGAACGGTGTGAAACGTTTGAGTATCACGACCAAACAAATATAATTTCAGCTAGTCATGAAACCTTTCTGAAGTTGATTCAGTGGAATGTCCACTGAATCACCTGCACACAAAGCCAGGAAACAACTCCACCTACAAAGTCGTAGGTCTCCATGAGATGTGCATGTGAGCATGTGATAATGCACCTCTCCGGAATATTAATCATTATTCCGACTCCCCCCTCAGAGGGGTAGATATTTTCTGAAAATAAAAATTTTACATATCCCTTACTTATTTATCAGCCCCATGCTGTTGGTCAACCCACAGTTATACAAATCCCTCTATGAAGCGCATCTTGGTCAGCCCGACAATGCTGCCACATCGAAGGGCTGACCAGGAACGCGATCCATTTCAGTGTCTCAGTGGATTTCTGCGTGAGGGTATCAAATGTTTTTAAAATCCTGGCAAATCATGTTTTTCATAAGTAAACTATGTGTTAGTTTAGCGAAAAAAATATTAGGAAAAGAAAAGGATGCGGTCAGTATTCACTATTTATGTTTCATATAGTTTCAGTATTCCTACGGATTCGACAATTGCTTGACGTGCATGAACCGTTACGAACTTTGCAATTGTCCTAATGCTATTCAGTTTATTGGCTTGCCAATATTTTGGTACAGTTAGGGAGTACTTATTTGCCTCATATATAGGTATATGATGATTACAAATAATCACTAGTAAATAATGAAATCATTAGGGTAGACCGGGGTTAGTTGGGCACAGGGGTTGGTTGGTACATTCGTAAAATTTCGGAATCCGTTCGGTTATCACCAGCGTTGCTCGCATCTATCGGAAGATGTTTGAATACGCGCCAGTTGAAGACAGTTATCGTTGATGTGTGGGCGTTTTTTTTTTTAGTTTTACTTGGTGCACGTGGTTTTGTCACCCGTAATTAAATATTTATGAGTTTCAAATATTTGTAATATCAGTTTTATTGCTTTTTCGATAACAACAGAGTATATATATTAAGAAAATTTGCAATTTTGTCAATACTTACCAAATATAAAACTTTGATTTATAATGTTTTAACATTTAGTTTCGACATTTCTAACGTAAAAAAATGCATTGGGGATGGTTGGTATAGACTGCAAGGGGCTGGTTGGTACAGTGTACCAAGCAACCCTGGGAGCTAGCTTTACGTTTTTTTTTTGTTTTGCTACTAGCTGGCTTTTTTAGGAAACCTTCATTTAAATTCGTACGTTTAAAAGAAAATCGGAAAGAGGCACAACACCCCCGGATATTATGCTGAGGGCGGTCAGAGCCGTAAAATTGGAAGGGCAATCTCTAAGATCTGCTGCCAGTGACTTCGAAATTCCATTCGACACATTAAGAAGATATTGCTTCAAGTTTACACTAGAGCAGGGGTCTCCAAACCTGGCGGGCCAAATCCGGCCCGCCAGTGTCATCAATCCGGCCCGCGACAGCCAATGATTTACTGTCATCAATCTGGCCCGCGACAGCCAATGATTACCTAATTGTTGTTACTATTGCTGTGATAAGTTGAAAAAGAAAACACAGAATGATAATTACTCGGTTTTATTTACTTGCAAGGTAAAACTTAACGACAGAAATGATGGCAAAGAAAATTCAACTTGAGTATCTAAGTTTAAGCATGATAATAACTAACAAATAATTGAAAACAATCACAGTAAAACAAAAACACTAATTAGATTTATGTAATTGTGATTTTCCACCGACAATACTTTGTAGTTGTGGATCAATTTTACTTGTACCAATTATCAAAAGAGATTTAAGATGCTCATCGGTTANGGACTCAATCACAAAATACTGAAAGTTCCATTTTTCTTGGAACGTTCTGCATTCACTGTCGATTTTTCGCTTCTTTTCCATACTAACAAATCACACATAAAAACAATAAGTCAAATCAAAATACTTTTAATGACAAGTATAACTTTATTTCACAATAGACAGTTTCGCTTCCTTCGCCTTTCTTACGCAGACTAACTCGCAGTTGCGAAGAGTTACTTCGGCAGAACGCGGTACGCTTGTAACTTTGGCGTGTGCTGTTTCTGCTGCTGGAAATACTGTGCCACCTTTCTTCATATATCCTCGTGTCCATTTTAAGCCCCATTTTCTCAGAGATGCCCCGCCTGGAAGCGTTAGAAGTGCCAATCTATCAGGCTGGATGAAAGACGTTCATTTTATACAATATATCCAGCATTTTATTCAATACTCCAAGGCGTCTAAAGAAAACCCTCTCCTGCTTTTGATAGACAACCACGTTTTGCATTCATCTCCCGAAGCACTAAACATCTGCAAAGATCACGGCGTAACAGTGTTATCCTTTCCGCCTCACTGTAGCCATGAGCTCGAACCTCTGGATCGCAGTGAGTATGGACCGTTAAAGAAGTATGTCAATAGTGCTTGTGATTCTTGGATGACTAATCGTCCGGGTGCAACGATGAATATTTATGACATACCCAGTATTGTTCGTACTGCACTACCATTAGCGGTAACTCCAAACAACATTACAGCTGGATTCCAGGTTTCCGGAATGTATCCATTTAATAGGGATATTTTTCCGGACAGTGAATTTATGTCTGCTTATGTTACAGATAGACCCGATCCTGAACAAGATTTGCAAGATATTGAGCATAACGTAAATCCTGGTGAAGTATTGGGAGTTAAAGCAAATCTACCTGAACTTGGTCAAATTACACCCATCGAAAAGGCTTTAAACCGTGTCGACAACTCCTTGCCAGACCAAGAGACTAATCCCAACGAAGACGTGCTTTCAAGCTGGACCAAGCAGAATTGCAGAAAGTAAGACGCCCACGCCCCAGAATTCTCAGTGTCTCCAGTCATCTAACAAGGTAGCAACATGTTTTACAGATCTCGAAAACTTTATAGGTAGACATTCGAAGACGAAGAGGTAGACATTCTAGATATTCACTATTCATTTTTCAATAAATTCATTACCAAATCATTCATCATATTTTAGATTTTTCGTTTGTGATAAAAATGTCATTTCTCATTTATTCATTTTTACTCAGTCACACTTTGATTATTTTCATGGCGTCAGTTTTTTAAATCTGCAATATCAAACTCAAATCCGAAGATTCCTTCTCACAAAACGTGATTTCTGTTAGGGCGTCCATGACATATCATTTGAATTTGAAAATCTATCATTTGAAAATATATCTAGTAGCAAACATCAAAACTATATTGATAATTTCAACTTATAACATACCCAAATTTTTGCATCTAAGATAGCGCAGAAATTAAAATTGCTTCGACAAGCTAAATGAAATAACGCACTATTGGTTATTATGTTATTATTATCCTAACTAGTACGGAAAATGTTATGAAGCGCTGAAAAAACTTCTATATGCCGAACAATTCCTGATCTAAATTGCTTGTAGATATAGGGTGATCCACGCCCACGCATGCTTGTACAAAGAAACATACAAAACAGGAACTCTATTATCGGATTTCTGCACCACGAGAATCTAGTAGAATATCATTCATCACGAAATACAAGTCCATCGTTGCCCAATTGTGGGCTGACCAACATGCTATCCATGTTGGTCATAAGACTGAACTCACAAATACACTATTTACATCAGGTGTATAGAATTGCACAGCCGTGTCCCCTGACAAAGTTTTGTGAAAGTAGATGGTGTATCAGCTTATCAGCTATGTGTAAATGGTGTAATTGTCGGCCCAACAAAAATTTTGCCAAACGTCATTTCACATGACAACATGTCCTTACAAACAACCATATATACCAACGGTCAGCAACAGGCGGACCGCGGTCCGTTTGCGGACCGTGAAAGGTCGAACCTCGGACCGCCAAATACACCAAGTATAAATTATTACGTAGATAAGGCATACAATACCTTAATTTAATAAACAAATATTTTTAAGTCACATAGAATTCAATTCAGTACTTATTTCATTTTGAATTTTCAAGCTAACCTATTTTACAAGTACCTACATCTGATATGATTCGATTAGTTTCCCATCTAGCCTGGCTAATTAAAGAACAAATAACCTCCTTCTTGCAAAACTCAGATACGCAGAAAGCACTTTGAGTTCATAACAAACAAGAGCATTATGCTGGTTGTGGCTTTCCTAAAAGATATTTTGAAATATTTGAATGCGCTCAACACAGAGTTATAAGGAAATGTTAAATTAATATGTGATGTGATACAAAGAGTGTCTGCTTTTTATCGCAAGCTGGATATCTTTGAAAACGATATTGCTAAACAAAAATTCATTCATTTTCCGACAATTCTTGAATATAAAAAGGACTCTTAAGAAGACATTGTTCAGTTATTGAGAATCTGACCGATCTTAGGAACGATGTAGCGGCAGAATGGACAGATGTGGCTGCCAAGTTGTTTAATCTGTCAAAGCCATCACTTCAGATAGAGAAAATCGGTTTTCGATAAAATGTGTCTTTGCAATTGTGTGAAACGGTATCTTAATGAGAATTTTGGACCAAACATGTCTCGGAAAAATATGAAAATTGCAAGAAACTAGCTATAAATTTGGCCAGTATGTTTAGCTCGACAT